CGAGGTCCTCACGGCCAAGCCATCCTGGTCGCTGCGCGTGGACGAGGTCCTGGCCAAGCTGCCCGGCTGCGGCCGCGGCACGTGCTTCCTGCGCGCCGTAGCCCGCGAGGCGGGGGCTGGCGGCGTGAAGGGCGCGCGGGCGAGGGGCGGGCAGTACGGCCTGCTCGGCGCGGCCAACGGCAGGGGCAGGGACGTGGACGTGCAGGTGCGTGGCGGCTTTGCGGGTAGTGCGGGTTTAGAGTAATGCGGCCCAGTCAGCTGCCGTACTTCTTTTCGGCCCGCGAGAATTGCCTGGCTGTTCTCCAGATCATCAATCGCAAAGCGGCCCTGGCTCCTACCCCCCTTTTGACTTGCTCCAAGTGCCCCAGCCGCCCGGGCCGCCCCAACTGCCACAACCACTCTCGTGTGCAAACCCCATCCACAAACCCCCACAGGAGGCTGTCCTTTTCTTTGACAAGTTCAACTCACTTGCGCTTCCCGAGGTTAGCGTGCGCCCCCACTCCTTCAAGAAGGTCGCCCCCAAGACCATCGAGTTCCAGGTCACCGCCGCCGGCGGCGCCGCCGCGCACGCGTTCTGGGACGCCGCGCCCGCCGGCCGCTTCAGTGTCAACGGCGTCCAGGCGCTGCGGCCGTGCGCGCCGCTCGCGGTCAGATTCGAGGCCGCCGATGAGGTCGAGGTTTCGGACCTCGAGAGCAGCCTGACGATCTGGACGATCAACGGCGCGCTGCAGGGCAAGCAGCGGGCGCCGCTGCTGGGCGTCGCGGGCAGGGACGTTGCGGCTGCGCGCAGGGCGCCCGTGCGCCCCTCGCGCCGCATGATGCTCGCCGTCTGATGTGGCGGCTGCCGTTTCAGTTGATTCCCTGCTGAGGGCGCGGAGCGCCGCGCGCACTGCACGATTGGGGCTTGCTGGCACGCGCTGAGATCCTCCCGTTTAGCCTTCAAAATTGATCTCTCAAGTCTTGTACGTACTATAATATTTCTTGCGGGATCAGAAGCTTTGACGGCTCATGGTGCTACTTCATCCATTATGGGCTTTTCTCTGTGTGCTATGGGTTTACTTCTTCCGAGCCTCACCGGCAACAGCTCACCTCACGATTTGATCTTTTGGCAACCTTGAACTGCGCCACTCCGTGCGCAGCAAAAGTGCCACCTGCTTCGCTGGCCCCTGGTCTGCTGTCTCGCCCCTTGCTTTTCAGGGGCTGGCATGCCAATTCAAGCACTTCTCCTCCCTGCCCTTCCCCTGCCTCCCTTCATGCATCATCGCACACTGCAGCTCGGTTGCAACAAACACCCGAATACCTGGCCGCTGCACTCTCGGCTTGCCCCACTCGCGACTTGGCCAACAGATACAGATTACAAATGGCAGGCAGGGTTTGTTTTTTTGTTGCAACTTGCGTGTATTTTGATCAAAAAGTAGTGTTGTGTGTGTACAAACGGCAAGCCTGGCACGCCGAAGCAGCGCCGTCTGGATATGCACAAGGCCAGGGCATCATGTAACCAGGCGTACAGGCTACTGAGGGCCGAGCAAGACAATGCGTTCAGCCAGGCATTGTGCGTGGTTGGTTTGAACCAGCAGAAAAAAACAAGCGCAGAGGTGCGCGCCTCACGAATGTCCCTACGCGCAGGGTCTGGCCCAGCAGGGCTTGGCTCGTGTCCAGGGCCGAGGCACTGTACCACGCCGGGAGGAATGGGTGCAGTAATCATTGCACGCTCGACTCCAGTATCACACACACTCGCTCAGAGTGCAAGGCTCTGCTGCAATAGCAAGAGGTTGCCAGCATTTGATTGCTGGTTGAGACCAACTATGAACCGCCTTGAGCCGCAGCAGCACGTGTCGAAACCGTGGCGCGCGGGTACACAAACACGCTCTGCATGCCACCCTCTCTCACAAACCCTACAACCCCCAGCAGAGGCCGCAAAGCAAATCAAGAAACGGGGCGGCAAATGCGCGCCACGACGTGTGTACAAATGCGCTGCGCGGCAAAATCGCCTCTGCACTGTGATCGGGGTTGGGAGATCTGCAAAACCCTCGACGAGTAGAAGGGTCCAGCCAACGACGTGGCTGGGCCAACAGCGGTGGGTGGGCCAACAACGGTGAAAGGAAATCCCTGCGCATAGACCAGTATCAACCCTTACTTGTTGCCATACATCCCGCTCGGGACGCTCGATCAAAAGTCTTCGCGTGTGTTGCGTGCAGCACGCAGACCGCTACCAGATTACTGCTGCCCAAGCTTTGGCAGCTGGGTGACGAAAAGGGGCGTACAGCAATACGCGCTCCAGCCCAGGACTGATGACGGAGCGCCGCATCACAGGCAGGGCGGCCCACGGGATGCGAGGCCGCCACTTGCCTGCACCTCGCCGCTGCTTCAGTGGCGGGGGGCGCCGAGCGTTACGCTCGCCGTCGGCGCGCCCGGCGCGCGCGGCGCCGCGCCGTGCGGCGCGCGGTCGAGCGACAGCCGCTCGAGGCTGACGCGGCGCGCGGCGTCCAGCGACGGGCGCGGGCGCATCGCCATCTGCATCGCAGCGGCGCGCTCGGTCGCGAACTCGGCGGCCATCATCCTGAGCGCGGCGGCGCCGGCGGGGCCGGTGCGGTCGACCAGCGCGGAGAAGGCGCCGCCGGGCTTGGACAGGAGGGCGGTGGGGACGCCGATCTCGCTGACCTGGCCGGCGTCCATGACGATGACCTGGTCGGAGCGGATGACGCTGTCCAGCCTGCAAGGGTCAGGGTTTGATTGCATGTGAAGGGGTGTGTGTTGATTGGACAGCTTTGAGGTGAGGGTGGTTGGAGGATGGACCAGGTGGGGCTGTGGGCTTCCAGGGGCAAATCTGACTGGTATGGCAGAGCAATCTCCCACCAAAGCTGCGGGCGGGCTTGCAAGAGCGCGGGGAGCAACTGGGGGCGGCCCACACATGCATGTTTTCACACCTGTGCGCGATGGTGAGGATAGTGCGGTCCGCGAAGATGCGCTCGATGATCTCCAGGACATTTGCCTCGGTTGCAGGGTCCAGCGCCGCCGTCGCCTCATCGCAGCACAGCACGGGGACCTAGCGGGGCCGGGGCAAAGTGGTTGAGAGTGTCAGGCCAGGCTTCATTCCACACACCGAGCTGACAGAGCCGTAATGCATCCAGGCTTGCAGTATGCGGATGGCACAGGCGGATACAGACAACAGTGGGCCAGCTGCTGCTCGTCCCAATGCAGTGTGGGGCATGTGATGCCCGGGGCTGCTGGAGAGACCAAACCACCCGAGGCCGCACCTTCTTCAGGTGCGCGCGGGCCAGGCACATGAGCTGCTGCTGGCCCAGGGACCAGGCATTGCCGCCAGTGCCGTCCAGCCGCGCGTCCAGGCCGCCCGCCATCTTGACCTGTGATTGGCAGATCCGGGTGGGAGGGGGCAGGGTGTGCAGTGTCACGTCAGTAGGGCCGCACATGCTGAGCCAGCGAGCGCAGGGGCCAATAAAACCGGCAGCTGCGACGGGAGCTGCTTGCAAGAGTGCACGGTTGCACAAGTTTCGGGGCGCAAAACTTGAGCTCCTCTTCACTGTTCATGGTTGCTGGTCAGGCATGCCAACCCCCCTGCGCACCGTGGAGTCTAGGCCGCAGTCCCTGAGCGCTGACCACAGCTCAGCGTCGCCGCCATACTCGTCGAAGGGGTCGAGGTTGGAGCGCACGCTGCCGCTGAAGACCACGGGCTCCTGCGGGCACAGATATATTACGCGGGCCGTGAGGATTGCACAGCAGGATTGCACATGGAGCGTTCAGAAGAGATGCACGGTCCGATGGCGTCAGGGGCGCTGGGTGCTGTCGCGTCAAGCTGCACCAGGAGCAGCGGAGGCTCTCGGGAGCGAGCTCAGCCCCCGGCTGGCGGCTGGCTGCTGTGCGGGCCTCCACACCTGGGGGATGATGGACAGGCCGCGGCGCAGCTGCTGCAGCGACAGCCCCGAGATGTCGATGCCATCGACCTTGATGCTGCCTGCCTCCAGGCGGAACATGCGGTACAGCGCCAGCAGCAGGGTGGACTTGCCGCTGCCCGTGCGGCCCACGACGCCAACCTTCTCGCCGCTCTGGGGGCAGTGTTGGAGGGTGAGGGGTGGCGGCGATGGAGGGTGAGAGGGACGCGGGCAGTGACCCCGCGGAAAACGTCGAGGCAGAGACAGAGAAAGTTGCAGAGGGCCGGTGGCAGCCGGCCTGGGGATGCATGCTCAGGCGGTCACAAGGCATTCACCAGGTGACCATTTGATGAGGCAGCAAAGCTGATTCCTCAACCCGGCCCACCCACACTCACCCTGATGGTGAAGCTGACGCCGCGCAGGGCGGGGGGCAGGTGCGGGGCGTACTTCATAACAACACCTGAAGGTGCACACGTGGGTGGCACATGCGTGTTGGGTTCCAGGCATGCAGGTAGTGTGGCATACAAAAGTTTCGGATTGCAAGGCCGGACAACAGCCATCCCTTCGCCGCCAGCGTCAGAGCAAGTTTGCTGCCTCCTTTGGAGGCCAGCGGCCCGTGCACCAACAATCATCCCCATTGGGCACACCAATGGCTGCCCCAAGGCTGCAACCCACCGTCAAACTTGACGTCGCCAGTGCGAGGCCAGCCCATGGGCGGGCCGTGCTTGCCCTTGCTCCTGGCAATCTCGACCTCAATGCTCTCCTGAAGAGATGAATTGAGAGTGTGGTGCGGCAAGCGGATCAGAAAGAGTCCAGCAGCAGCATTGGGAGCGGCATCAAAAGCATCAACAGCAGAAGCAGCACTATTAACCTGATCTACTGCCACCAATGTTTGCAGCCAGTACTCAGGATGGATCGAGAATAATTCCACCGTGATTCCCAAGGGCGGGCCGCAGGCATAGGGGCAGCACAGCTCGGCCACATGCTCACCGCAGGCGGGGGCAGGGCTTTGCCAACGGTGCTCTTGGCGGGCTTGCCCTCGTCGTCGTCGCCGGCGAGCGCGGGGCACGCGAGGCGGCCGCCCTCCTGGGGGGTGTGGTTGGCGATCCAGGCCAGATTCTCCCCAGAGCCGAACAGGCCGATGCACTCGGCAACCAGGCGGATGGAACCCGTGTAGAACACCTATGAAAGGGATGGGTTTTCGTGCCAGCAAAGTCAGACCTCGTGTTAGCCATTGGGTCGCCTACAATACGTGCAGCCATCACCGCCAGCACAGGCGGAGGTCGGCAAGCAATGGCAGCCAAGGGCGGGCCGCGCCCCCATGCAAGAAGTCAAGTCTCAAAGCTTGTGCGTCAATCAATTGCTGTTTCACCCACCAACATCTGGATGGACTGAGAGAAGGCGAGGCCGACGTTGGAGGAGCCCAGCACGCGCCACTGGCCGATACCGAAGGACGCCACCGCCAGAACCATGCACGCGCCTGCGTGGAGGGACATATAATGGGAGCGGCTGTTGCAGACTATGCAAGGACGCCTGGCACTGCAGCCGGCAGTGCCTCGGCCTGAGGCACCTGGGTGTCATGCCGATAAGACCAAGCCTCAAAACATTTCCCATGCATGCCATTTGCTGCAGCATGGTGAGCGCATGTTTGATCCGGGATCCCCACCCACCGTAGAAGTCGCAGAAGAAGGCCAGCCACAGGTTGAGGCACTCGGAGCCAAACAGGGCGCGGTGGGCGTCATCCACCCGCTGCTCAGTCACCTGTGACAGTGGAAAATTCAGAAGGGGCAAGAGGAAGGCAGTGCGTCATAATTGGGCTGGGAAATTATTAGAGTTTGGATGGGGGTAAATCCACTCTGCATGGGTTGCAGTAGCTGACTGGGCGCTGTGTCGACCCGCAGGTTGTGCCCCGCTGGTCCCAGAGCCACTTGTGCCGGCTGCTTTGCGTGCCGCCCCCTTCCGTCAGCGAAGGCCCGCCTGTTCAACGCACATGGGTGAAGTACTGCTGCTTGTTGTAGGCCTGGATCACGGTCAGGCCATCCAGCGACTCAGCGATGAGGGTCACGAGATCACCTGAGTTTGCACCAGAGGCAGGATGTGGGTCGATCAGATGGGAGCGTCCTGACAAAACACAATGTGTCCGTCGTGATGCAGCCTGCTGCCGCCTCCGCGCAGGGACAATCCCAATCCCGCTGCTGGTCCTGGCAGCACACAGGTTTCACTCAACCGCGCTCAGGCGCATCAACCACAATGATGCTGGCTTTGCACACAGCTCTGCAGACAGAAGCCGTGGCTCACCCGCAGTGCCCATGCGCAGCTTCTTGAGGTGCGTGGCGGCGGGCAGGTAGAGCGACAGCATGAGGCCGCTGACGAGGAACAGGCCGCCGGCCAGGGCGCCGAACGCGGGGATGACGATGGACACAGTGATGGTGGTCGCGCACAGGATGAGGGCTGCGGGCGGGGTGAGGGTGAGGGCAACGTCAGCTTTGGCAGCTCAAGGGTAGGATGTCACACAAATGAAGGTTGCAGGTTTGCTTGATTAAGATTGAAGACAGTTGTTCAAACCCGTGATGCTTGGCGGATTGCGGCTCTGGGCATCATCAGGGACCGCCCTCACGACTCTGAGCACCCACCGTAGATGCCGCTGTAGTAGAGGGCGTCGGGCAGGGCCTCATCGAGGATGTCCTGGTCCTTGGTGAAGGACACCAGCAGGTCACCAACGGGGGTCTGCAGGCAGGTGACAACAGCGGGTGACCACGTCAGCCGGCAGTTGATGCAAGTTGTGCTGACAAAAAGGTCGGAATTCAACCTCAAGAAGGCACAAACAAGGTGCTGGACCAACCAAGACTGTGGCCAAGGGTGTGCCAGGACCTCCCCAGCGCAGCATTTAGGCGCGGGCAGGGTCGGTCGCTGCTGGTTACTACCCACCGTGAGGAAGAAGCCCAGAGGCGCGTAGAGGATGCGGTGGACGCTCTTGACCTGCAGCCGGTTGGCAGCGCCGATCGCCCAGGTGTACAGGAACTGCGGTGTTGGGGGAGCACAGCGTGGGGCGTGTGAGTAACGTGCAAATGTCAATCTTAGGGCTGCGATGCCAGGCACTTTCCCTGTTGCACAAGGATGTGGGCAAGGTGCTGCCAATTGGGCAGAAGCAGGATCCCAATCATTGACAGCTTGCAGGTATCCTGCATGAAGCCCGCAACAGCGCTGGCACCCGAGTCTGCAGCTGCGCCGGTGCACGCATAAAATCCTAACAGGTCCAGGCATAACATCCCACTCACCGTGCCGCGGAAGAGCATGAGGGTGAGGAAGCCGCCAAGGGCAAGCACGCCATACCTGCAATTCAGTGGGCGTGGATTGGGCATTAGAGTGCTGCTTGGTTGCCGTACATGCAAGTGGGGTTTCACAGCCCACGCTTGTGCATGCAGTTGCAGTGCGTGAAAGGTTCGCGCAGCAAACCAGCTGAACCGCCATCAGTTGAACCGGGGCGCTGGCCTGGGTGAATCTGACACAACGGTAGTACCAGGCAGCAGCGGCAGCTAGCTGCACCCACCACTGGACGTAGAAGTGTCCACGGCACAGGCGGCCCTCGCAGGCGGGGGTGTACTTCTTG